GGCCACACCGTCGCAGCCATCTGACCCCCGACCCCAAAGAGGGCTCGCCGGCGCACGCAAGCGACACGAGGCCGCAGCGGGCCGCGAGGGGGCCACCTGCGGGGGCATGGCATCAGACCGCGGGGGGGAGAGGCGCCAGAGGCGCGACGGGGAGCCGCGGGGAACACCTCGGGCCAACAAAAGCCGGGTCCTCCCGGAAAACGGACACGGGATGCCACCGCCACACGCCCGCGCGGTCCCGTGGCACGCCTGGGACGCCGGCAGCCCGCCTCCAGCGACCCCACGCGTTCCCCGACGCGCACCTGAGGCCCCCCACCGGGGCCCACAATGCGACACCGCCAACGCTCTCGACACCGGGCACCTACTGCCACCGGCTTCCTGGGGTCTCCATCCACCAACATCCGAGCCCCCGGCCCCGGGGGCCGCCACCCCGCGGGAACGCTCCCAAAGCCGATGCGGCCGAGGGGAGACCCAACGGGCCCAAACCCGTGGCCCCGCCGCCGCCACCCTCGCCGGCGGCGACCGGCCAGCGGGCCGCGGACAGCCCAGGGCGGGAAGCGAGCAGAGAGCCACCCCACGCCAGGGCCACAGGGGCAGCGCGGGACAAGCCACACGCAACCCCAGGGGCCCCGGGTGGTAAGCGGAAGGCCAGACAACACCAGAGGCATGCGAGCGACCGCAGGGCCCCTCCGTCGGGCCCGTAAGGCAACGGGACGCCCGGCCCTGGCCCAGCGGGACCCTCCCCCGACACGGGGGGGAGGCGCGGGCCACGGCAAGGTAGAGGCGCGAGAGGCAGCGTCCGGCCCCCAGCGGAAGGGGCCGGGAAGAACGAGCGACCATCGCCACCTACCGCACAACAACCCAAGCCATCCGCGTCGTCAGCAGCGTGGCTACCGACACGCACCAGGAAGAGGGAGGAACGGCGCGGCAAGCGGGGGATACGGCACCCCATCACGTAGGCACGTCCCTCTCGGATCGCTAGAGAAGGCTTTTCTCACCGAAGGCGAGCCGCACCCCGCCAGCCCCCACGTGCGCCTCTCACCGGGCACAAAGGGCCCCAACACCAAGGGAGCATCAACCCAACCCGGGGGACGGGCCCGAGGATGGGCGGAGGGGTCTGCGGCACAGGTAAGGAAGTCACCTGCCCCCCCACGGACGCGCAGGGGGCACCAGAGGCCGGCCGGGCGAGGCCACGGGCCGTGGCAGCAGCAGCCGGTGCTGCGCCCAACGCTTCCTTTTCCTCACCACCTCGACCCCCCAGAGGCTCCCGCACACCAGGCAGCACACACCAGCGAGGAGGCTGCAGCGGCACACCCGGGAGAGCGCACGCTGGGGTGGCAAGGGAGCGACACCACCACTCGGTTCCAGGCGCCTGAAAGGCAAACGACCCGGACCGCTCCAGGAGCACCGCACAGAGCCGAGCAGAGCCGGACTCTGCCGGACGAGCCCCACACCACCGCGGGAGGGGGCCCGCCCACGCCGTGACACGCCGGCACGGCAGAGGGCGAAGGGTGTCCGCCACGTCCGAGGACCCCCGCCCGGACCCCCACACCAGCGCACCTCCAGGCGGCACGAGGCAGAGGGAGCGGAGATCGAGCCGGGTTCCGCACCCCTGGCCTCTCCCACCGCACCGAGGCAGGGGAAAGAGGAACCAGGAGCCCGCAAGACAGAACGAGAAGCTCGGCAGCATTCGCCATGAACGGCCGTCCCTCGTCTGTAAGCGGCTTAGGCCCGGCCCGGGAGAGCGCCACATCACCACATCGGTCAGTCGCGGTCTGGAATTGTGACATCACGCGAGGCACAGGGGGTCACGCCCGGCGAGGACAGCCGCCAGAGAGGGGGTCCGTCGCAGCCTCACCGGCCCCTTGCCTCCTCAGCGGCGGTGGCCAACCCCAGCGGAGGAACGCCTGACACGCACACACGGCATGAAGCCGCTACTACCGACTCAGTCTCAGGAAGGGGTCTCGTCAGCCACCGCTACACAACGGGCCGCCTGCGGCAGAGAGCGGACACGGGTATAGGACCCAGCGCCCGGCCTCACCCCCGCCGCTCTCGGGGCAAATCGTAAGCCGGAGATGGCAGCACCGTCGCAGGGCTCAACCGGGATCGCACACCGAAGCTGCCGCACGAACCCAGGCAGGCAGCTCGGCCGCCGGATGGGCAGGGGAGACGCAGTCCGACGCCAGGCCGCCGGCAGCCCATCGCGCTCTCCCCCTGCCCCCCAGACGCGAACCCAGGGGCCCAGCTCTCCTGGCGACGGTCGCCAGGAGACAGCGTGTCAGCACCTACCTGCAGATCCAAAATGACAACTGCAGGCGTACAAATGCCCTTCCAGGGGACAACGGGGACAACCTATGCGATACAGCCACCCCCTCAGATGGGGGCCCGGGTCACAGGTCCCCAAAAACATACCCATCGACGACAGGGCGTGCTCCTGTGGCCACCTGGTCGACCCAAGGACTTAGAAAAGCAAACACACGCTCACAGTCCCACCAGCGGCCACGACCGGGTCCCCTCGTGCGGGCGACGAGTGTCGGGCCGGGAGCCCCGGGCCTCGCAGCCCCGTCAACGGCCCCGATCCGGTCCCCTCATGCGGGCGACGAGTGTCGGGCCCGGAGCCAGCCCCGTCGACGGCCCCGACCTGGTAGCCTAGTGCGGGCGACGAGTGTCGGGCCCGGGGTCCGGGGCCTCGCAGCCCCGACGACGGCCCCGACCTGGTGGCCTAGTGCGGGCGACGAGCGTCGGGCCCGGGGCCTCGCAGCCCCGACAATAGCCCCGACCTGGTGGCCTAGTGCGGGCGACGAGCGTCGGGCCCGGGGCCCGGGGCCTTGCAGCCCCGATGATGGCCACGACCGGGTCCCCTCGTGCGGGCGACGAGCGTCGGGCCCGGGGCCCGGGGCCTCGCAGCCCCGACGACGGCCCCGACCTGGTGACCTAGTGCGGGCGACGAGCGTCGGGCCCGGGGCCTGGGGCCCGGGGCCCGGGGCCTCGCAGCCCCGACAATAACCCCGACCTGGTGGCCTAGTGCGGGTGACGAGCGTCGGGTCGGGCTCGGGGCCCGGGGCCCGGGGCCCGGGGCCTCGCAGCCCCAATGACAGCCCCGACCCGGTTGGTGGCCTAGTGCGGGCGACGAGTGTCGGGCCCGGGGCCCGGGGCCTCGCAGCCCCGACAACGGCCCCGACCTGGTGGCCTAGTGTGGAGGCAGTGATAAAGGGAGTGCTGGTCGACCCCATGCACTCTAACGGTACTCCAGCAAGGTGACATTCAGGAGCGCGCAGACACCTAACCACCCCTGCAGCTGCCTGCCTGCTCACTTGCAAGCCTCCAGGCCCAATCTCCGAGCAGCACACGAGCCAGCCAGGTCCCAGCAGGGCTGGGACTCTCCCGCCTGCAGCTTGGGGACTTTGTCACACCCTGTCCCGGGCTCTCCACCCACTCGCTTCCCCTTGCCGGCTCCGGAGCACTCTACAGCTACAGCAAGGCTGCCTGCCACCAGGTGGAGTCAGACAGCCAGCACCAAGGAACAAAGGGACAGCACGCCGGATGCATACGGCCGGACAATGAATCCGAGAGAGGCAGGGAAATGTGTGTCATCTCCTCCCTCCCTCCCTCCCTCCCTCCCTCCCTCCCTCCCTCCCCTTGCAGGGGGTACCGGCTGGTCCCGGCCGCCAGGTCGCTTGCCTTGCCTTGCCTTGCCTCTCATTTATAACCAAACTGTGTTGTGACTGTTACTGGTGAAATGTGAACATTTTGTTTTGATTGGGGAGAATCGTGTTGGAGTAGTGAATGACCACGCATCTGCTGTGACAGCATAAATCTGACCTATCAGCACATTCTTGGGGGAAGGGGGGATACACTTGGTCACACACAGGTAAAGGGAAAAGGCAGCCAGAAAATAAAAAGGAACCACCAACATCGAGAGAGAAAAGGGAGGGAGGGAGGGAGGGAGGGAGGGAGGGAGGGAGGGAGAGAGAGAGAGAGAGAGAGAGAGAGAGAGAATGAGAATGAGAACTGAAAGGAAGGCAAAAGTAAGAATCAAAAAAAAAAAAACAGGAACACAAAAACTAGGGAAGGAGAAAGACAACATAAAGGGAAGCAATGGAAGCAGTAGGGGAAACACACACACACACACACACACACACACACACACACACACACACACACAAAACAAACGGCCAGACAGACACGAGTGAAAGAGATGAGGGAAGAAAATAAATCCAGAATGAGACCGCGAGAGAAAAGGCTCTAGGAAAAGGGAGAGAATGTAAAGATGAACAATGTCGAATAAAGGTGGGAGTCAGAAGTGAAATTCTTTGAGACGCAGGGGAGTGGGAGAAGGAGAGGGGACAGGTCAAAGGAGAAAGCGAAAGAAAGAGAGGAAAGCGGCGGTATTCAGCAATCAAAACAGAGAGAGGGGGAGTCTAAAAGGAAAGGAGAGATCCAAGAAGAAAGAAATAAGGAAACATCCCTAGGGAGGCAACAGATTCCCCCGCCTGGACGGAGCAGGAGAGCACCTAGAGAGACGCACACACAGTGCAGTCCCGGCCCGGTCGGTGGAAGGACGGTTTGTGCATTTGTGCAGCGCCGCGCGACCGACCGACCGCCCGCCCCGCCCCCCCGCCGCCGCCGCCGCCGCCGCCGCCGCCGCACGGGCCAGCAAGCCAGAAGCCCGACTGTGTTTACTGCGCCTGCGCTAAACCGACTGTTTCCCTCCCTCCCCCTCCCTCCTTTCCTCGACCCCCCAAACTCCACGCCAACCGCCACCCCGAGGCCCCGCGAGACTTGAGACTAGTTTACATGCGGGCGCCATCTTGACCTCTGCCGTCAGCGCCATCTTGGCTTTCGCCTCATGTCCGATCCGATACTGTGGCCACTAGATGGCGCGCAGACCCCGCGATTCGATTCTTGAAACACGCTGCGGTTCCCGGTGTGGAGTTAGTTGGGGCTGTGATGGGGCGGGGAAGATGAAGGATGGGGGAGCAGGAAGAGCAAAGGCAAGAGATAACAACGACAACGCTGAGTCTCGAGCCCAGGGGTCAGTTCCAGATTCATCCCTTGGGCCATGTGTTTCCAGGCCCAGCTCTCCCGGGGAACCTCATCCGGTAATGAGACAGAGACAGAGAGAGATAGAGAGAGACAGAGAGAGAGAGAGAGAGAGAGAGAGAGAGAGAGAGAGAGAGAGAGACTGAGACTGCCTCACAAAAATCAGAAACCCAGTTCAGTCCATCTCAATGCTCCCAACCACGTTGGGACAGCAAAGACTTCCCTATACACACAGCTAAAACCCAGTCAGCGCCTCACCCCAAGTCCGTTCCCACAATATGTGCCAAGAGACCTTTCCTCCATCCTTGTCTCTCCCTGGATGGCCCTCCCTAGGCGGCATTGTCACAAAGTGTGGAAGGACTCTCTCCCTCCTGTGTCGCAGCAGCTGAGGCCAAGCTAGGCCGAAGCCAGGAGCCAGGAACAAGATGAAATCGGTGTTCCCATACGGCAAGGCCAGTGTGTCTGCTGACGGGCTGTTGAGCGTGTGTGCGGTGGTGCCACAATGCCAGTATCCCCCCCCAACTGTTTTACTTTCGCTTTCTGTTGTCGTCCCCCGCCCCCCCCCCCCCCTTGAAGTTGACTTATTTTCATCGGGAAGGCAGATTTGCAGAGAGAAGGAGAGACAGACAGACAGAAAGATTTCCATCCGCCCGCCGGTGCACTCCCCAAATGGCCACAACCACGGCCGGAGCTGACTGGATCCGACCCAAATCCAGGAGCCGGGAGCTTCTTCCAGGCTCCCCACGCAGGTTCAGGGTCCCGTAACACTTGGGCCACCCTTCACCGTTTTCCCAGGCCACAAACAGGGAGCCGGATCAGAAGTGGAGCCACAGGGACTTGAAAGTGGAGGAATACTGCCGCGCCCTTGCGTCTGTCTGTCCTTCCTGTGAGCTCTTGCAAGACCCAAGAAGTTCCTCCTCGGGGACAGAAAAGATGTGCCATGGAAACAGGTTAGAGACGTGAAAGAAGAGAGAGGAAAAGAGGGGGAGGGAGAGACAGATTGATTGAAATTGAGTTAGTGAGAATGTGACAACAATGAATAATAATTCAGTCTTCTCTGTTCGCCATTTGCAGGTAAGGTCCAGATGAGGAAAAGGAGAAAGGGAGCAGCCAGGCCGGGATTCCAGGGTCCAGAACACGGAGGGAGAGAGAAGTAGGTGTCAGGCAAGGCCACCTGCGAGGCCGAGGCCTTCGTGTCGGCGGCGGCGGCGTATTATCTTTTAACTCCCAATCAACCACAGAGAACTCCTTAGGCATCCGGGAGCGCAGGAAGGGCACAGGCCGGCCCGTATGTCCTCCTGCTCTGCCGTCCTCAAGTCCCCTTGACTTGTCGGCAGAGCAGAGCCGACCGCACACAACACCCACCACTCGGGCACAGGCGCCCGGATCTCTCCCTCAGAGCGCCCTTTCCCTTTAGTTCCACAGGATGAGAAATGGTGAACCAACCGACCCCGCGACTCTTCCCCTCCACACCCTAGGATAGCGACTAAATCCTGGCCCTGCATCCACCGGGATCTCATATGGGGGCCTGTTCCTAACCCGGCTGCTGCTCCACCTCCCAAGCTCTTTGCTGGGGACCTGGGAGAGCAGTAGAGGACGGTCCAAGGCCTGGGACCCAGAAGAAGTTCCTGGCTTCAGATGAGCTCAGCTCTAGGGAGTGAAGCAACAGGCACAAGACCTTTCTCTCTGTATCTCGTTCTGGTAGGAAACAGCTGGGTCATCCTATCTGTGGCCCTCAGAAATGAAACTGTTGAGTTTATCTGGGCAATAAGATGCTGCGCCCTCTGCATGGTCCATAACCGCAATGAAGGAATCGTGACCGGAGATGATCTGTACCAGTGTGACAATGTGGAGGAATTCAATGCGGGGAGGAGAGGGTTTGGGAGAGTCCCAGAGCCTATGAAACTTTGTCAGGGAGAAAAAAAGATGCGAGCGCAGAGGAGAGCTGCCTTCCAAAACACACATACAAATAGCCAGGCCGGGTCGGGACGCAAGCCAGGCTGGGTTGAACTGTTCACTGGCTAGCATCCCCCAGTTCACAGAAGGGCTGGTGGTGGACCAGGCCAGGCTAGGCTGCTGTACCCCAGCCCGATGGCGATAGCTGGGACTGTGAGGTTGGCCATCTCAGATTGTGCCACAGCACCCACTGGCTCACGCAGGAACGGGGGGGGGGGGACGGAGGGACGGAGGAGACTGGGGGAGAGGGAGCGTGAGAGCCAGAATCGAGCTAGGGCGATGCACCCAGTCACGCAAAAGAAGAGATGGGTGCGTTGCAGGCGGGCCAGCCGGGTTAGGCCGCAACACCCAGCTGTCAGCAAAGTTCCGGGACTGACTGGGTGAAAATCACATCAGGCAGGCCAGACCGCAGTAGCCCCCAGACGGTCCCAAGACTGTCCTGCCTGCTAGGGAAACCACCGCAGGCAGGCAGGCGGGCAGGCAGGCAGGCAGGCGGGCAGGCAGGCAGGCAGGCAGGCAGGCACTCCCCCCTGTCAGCTAGGCTGTAGCTCCCGTCGGAGAGCACCACGTTAAGGCCTGCCTGGACTAAAACAGCAAGTTACCCATAGATCATCAGGCCGTCCGTATGTGCCAAACATACAAGGCCCGGGCCAGACATGTCGACAGCGTGCATCTCCCCGGACCAGACAAGAAGACGAGGGGAAGACAAGAGTTGTCTTTTGGGCCAGGCGTGCGGTTGCCTAGTGGCGAAATTTCTCGGCCTGTACGCGCCGGGATCCCCCAATGGTCGCCGGTTCATGTCCCAGATGCCCCACTTCCGCCCAGCTCCCTGCCTGCCTGTGGCCTAGAGAAGCGGTCGAGGACGGCAGAAACCCTTGGGACTCTCCACCCACCCGCCTGCATGGTGGAGACCGGGAAGAAGCTCCCGGCTCCTGGTTTTGGCTCTGCCCTTTTGTGGCTGTTTGTT